AGAAATGTACAAAGTTTTAAAAAGCTGTCCAGGCTCAGTGGCTCACACCTATAATCCCAGCACTTTGAGAAGCCAAGGCAAGCAGTTCACTTGAGGTCAGGAGTTCAAGACCAGCCTGGCCAACATGGTGAAACCCTACCTCTACTAAAATACAAAAATTAGGTGGACGTGGTGGCAGGCACCTATAGTCACAGCTACTTGGGAGGCTGAGGCAGGAAAATCATTTGAACCTGGGAGGCAGAGGTTGCAGTGAGCCAAGATCGCACCACTGTGCTCCAGCCTGGGCGACAGAGCAAAACAGCATCTCAAATTTTTTTTGGCCAGGCACGGTGGCTCATGCCTATAATCCCAGTGATTTGGGAGCCTGAAGCGGGTAGTTCACGAGGTCAAGAGATCAAGACCATCCTGGTCAACATGGTGAAACCCCGTCTCTACTAAAAATACAAAAAATTAACTGGGCACCGTGGCGTGTGCCTGTAGTCCCAGCTACTCGGGAAGCTGAGGCAGGAGAATTGCTTGAACCCAGGAGGCGGAGGTTGTGGTGAGCCAAGATAGTGCCATTGCACTCCAGCCTGGGTAACAAGAATGAAACTCCGTCTCAAAAAAAAAAAAAAATTTTTTTTTTTTTAAATTAAAGATCAGAAGTTTCCTCCAGGTCCACAACTGCTTATCCAAGCGCTGTCCAGTTCCTATGGATTTTTCAGGGAAGTTTCCATGCATGTACATGTGTCCTTTTTCTTTTTCTTTCATTTTTGGAGACAGGGTCTTGCTCTGTTGCCCAGGCTGGAGTGTTGTGACACAATTTCAGCTCTCTGCAACCTCCACCTCCTGGGCTCAAGTGATCCTCCCACCTCAGCCTCCTGAGTAGCTGGGACTACAGGTACATACCACTACACCCAGCTAATTTTTTCTATTTTATCGTAGAGATAGGGTCTCATTGTTTCCCAGGCTGGTCTCAAAGTCCTGGGCTCAAGTGATCCTCCCACCTCAGCCTCCCAAGGTGCTGGGATTGCAGACATGAACCACCACATCCGACTTTCTTTTTTCTAACTTTGGCTTTCTTGAGATATAATTGACATATGTTACAATCTGCTCACTTAAAATGTACAATTCAATGGTTTTTAGTATATCCACAGTCATGCCGCCACAATTAATTTTAGAACGTTTTCATCAACTCAAGAGAAACCCCATAGCCATTAGCAATCATTCCCCATTTACCCCCAGCCATTCCCACCACCCCAGCCTTCCTCCAGCCCCAGGCAACCATTAGTCTGCTCTCTGCTGCTGCAGCCTTGCCTTCTCTGGAAGTTTCATAGAGAATTAGCCAATGTGTATAGTCTTTTGTGACTCCCTTTTGCCTCCCCTGGTGATTTTAAGTTTCATCCGTATTGGAGTGTTTCAGAACCTAGGAATGGAATTGCTGGATCATACAGTAACTCAGTGTTTAACTTTTTGAGACATTGGGTTTTTGTTTTTTTTTTAAGATGAGATCTCACTCTGTCGCCCAGGCTGGAGTACAATGGCTCAATCTCAGTTTACTGCAACCTCTGCCTCCCAGGCTCAAGCAATTCTCCCACCTCAGCCTCCAAGTAGTTGGGATTACAGGCATACACCACCACGCCTGGCTCCTTTTTTTTTTTTTTTGAGATGGAGTTTCTCTCTGTCGCCCATGCCGGAGTACATCTCAGCTCACTGAAACCTCCAACTCCTGGTTCAAGGGATTCTCCTGCCTCAGCCTCCTGAATAGCTGGGATTACAGGTGCATACCATCATGCCTGGCTAATTTTTTTTTTTATTTTTGGTAGAAACAGAGTTTCGCCATGTTGGCCAGGCTGGTTTCCAACTCCTGACATCAGGTGATCCACCCACCTCAGCCTCCCAAAGTGCTGGGATTACAGGCATAAACCACTACACCCGGCCTCTCTTTACTCTCTTGATGGTGCCCTTTGAAGCACAAAAGTTTTTTATTTTGGCGATGTTCAATTTTTTTTTAAAAAAAACAGGATTTCACCAGGCTGGTCTTGAACTCTAACCTCGTGATCCACCCACCTCAGCCTCCAAAGTGCTGGGATTACAGGTGTGAGCCACCGCGCCAGGTTTTTTTGTTTTGTTTTGTTTGAGACAGAGTTTCACTTGGTCAACCAGGCTGGAGCACAGTGGTGCAACCTCAGCTCACTGCAACCTCTGCCTCCCTGGCTTAAGCTATTCTCCTGCCTCAGCCTCCTGAATAACTGGGACTACAGGGGTAGGACACCACACTCACCTAATTTTTGTATTTTTAGTAGAGGTGGGGTTTCACTATATTAGCCAGGCTGGTCTCAAACTCCTGACCTCATGATCTGCCCACCTTGGCCTCCCAAAGTGCTGGGATTATAGGTGTGAGCCGTTATGCCTGGCCATTTTTTTTTTTTATTTGAGATAGTCTCACTTCATCACCCAGGCTGGAGTACAGTGGCACAATCTCAGTTCATTGCAACATCCTCCTCCTGGGTTCATGCAGTCCTCATGCTTCAGCCTCCCCAGTAGCTGGGATTACAGGTGGGTGCCACCACACCTGGCCAATTTTTTTTTTTTTTTTTTTTTGGTAGAGTCAGGATTTTGCCATGTTGTCCAGGCTGGTCTCAAACTCCCAAGCTCAAGTGATCCACCCACCTCAGCCCTCCAAAGTGCTGGGATTACAGGCGTGAGTCACTGCGTGCGTCCAGCCCAGATGATGTCCCACTTACCTGCGCTTTTGTTGCTGTTGTTTTGGTGTCTTACCAAGAAGGTTTTGTCTAACTCGAGGTCATGAAGAATTTGTATTTTCTTCTAATAGAATTTTAGCTTCTATTTTAGGCTTTTGATTCATTTTTAATTAATTTTGGGGCATGGCATCAGGAGGGGATCAACTTCATTTTTATGCATATGGATATTCATTTATCCCAACACCATTCGTTGAAAAAGTTCTTCCTTCCCCATGGAATCATCTTAGCGCACTTGTTGGAAAATCAATTGGCTGTAACTGAGGGTAAATTATCTTGGCCCCCTTGTTGAAAATCAAGTGGCTGTACATGTGAGAGTTCTATCCTACAATCTTCCTGAACTCTTTCTTGATTGTGTGTGTGTATGTGTGTGTGTGTGTGTGTGTGTGTGTCTGTGGGTATGGGACCTTCCCCTTTCTAACAGTCACGCAGTATTTCATGGTGTAGAGAGAAGTACTGTGATCTCTATAATGAGCTTCTGTTGGACACTTGGGGCTGTTGGGTTTGTTTGGTTTGGTTACTGTTACGGATTGTGCTAGAGAAAAGGCTTTTAGGAGCACTCCTTCATTCCGGGAAAGTGCATTGAGTGCCTTCTTTGTGCCAGGCACTCTTGGAGGTATTGGGCCTGCAGACAATAACAAGTAAACAGGGTGATGTCAGTTTGAGAAAAGCACAGTGAGGAAATGAACCATGCCTAAAATCCCAGCATGCTTTTGGTGTCTTATCCAAGAAGGCTTGGTCCTCACTTTGGGAGGCCAAGGCAGGAGGATCACTTGAGCCCAGGAGATTGAGAGCAGTCTGGGCGACATAGCAAGACCCGGCCTCTACAGAAAATAAAGAAAATTAGCCAGGCTTGATGGCATACACCTGTGGTCTCAGCTACTTGGTGGTTGAATGGGAGGATTGCTTGGGCCTGTGAGGTCAGGCAGTGACTTAGGTGAGCTAGGATGGCACTGCTGCACTCCAGCCTGGACAACAGAGCAAGATTCTGTCTCAAAAAAAAAAAAAAAAAAAAGTTGGGCGGGGCGGATCACAAGGTCAAGAGATCAAGACCATCCAGGCCAACATGGTGAAACCCCGTCTCTCCTAAAAATACAAAAATTAGCTGGGCATGGTGGCGCATACCTGTAGTCCCAGCTACTCGGGAGGCTGAGGCAGGAGTATTGCTTGAACCCGGGAGGCGGAGGTTGCAGTGAGCCGAGATCACGTCACTGCACTCCAGCCTGGGTGTCTGGCAACGGAGCGAGACTCTGTCTCAAAAAAAAAAAAAGAAAGAAAGAAAAAGAGAAAAGGCCAGATGTGGTGACTCATGCCTATAATCCCAGCACTTTGGGAGGTCCAGGCGGGTGGATCAGCTGAGATCAGTAGTTCAAGACCAGCCTAGCCAACATGGTGAAATGCCATCTCTACTAAAACTACAAAAGTTACCTGGGTGTGGTGGTGAGCGCCTGGAATCCCAGCTACTCAGGAGGCTGAGACAGGAGAATCCCTTGAACCTGGGAGGTGAAGGTTGTAGTGAGCCAAGATTGCGCCATTGCACTCCAGCCTGGGCGACAAGAGCAAAACTCTGTCTCAGAAAAAAAAAAAAACAACAGATCTGCAAGGGAGTGATTGGATATGCATGTGCATGTTGGGTTGAGGGTTCTGTGATTGGGGGGGATTCACTGAAGAGGCGTCCTTTGAGCTATGAGCTCAGTGATGAGAAAGAGCCCACAGTTAGGAAGGTTGTTCCAGGCACAAGGAACAGCAAGTACAAAGACCTGGACCGGAAGGCAGGAACGAACCTAATACTGTTTTTTCACAGAACAGAAAAAAACCCAGTGTGCCTGGAGAGCAGCCAGGGCTGGAGAAGTGGGCAACATGCCAAACGAACACAGCTCTTGCAGCCTTACCAAGGCATTTGGATTTTATTACAAATGTGAAAGGAAGCTGCTGGGGGTGGGCATTAAGCAGAGGAGTACCTCGATCTAATTGATGTGCCGAAAAGAGCACGCTGCTTAAGAAGCCCGTTTTTTTCCCAACCTGGTTCCAGCATTTCCAAACACTGAGTTCTTAGAAGTGGAATGACTGGGTCAGCAGGTTTAGACATTTAAAATGTTCCTAGGTGCTGCCAACTGCCTCCCTAAAAGATAGCTCTAGGTTTTACCCCAAAGGTGCCAGCTCCTGCCATAGCCTGCAGTGTTTGGGGTGAGGGTCGGGCAAATTTGCACCCCTGGATCCCAGCACCCACTCTCTGGCCCTTGCTTTTTTTGTAGGACCTTCACCTCTGCATTTACCCAGTAACTCTGGCTGTGCCGGGTACCCCTTGGGTAAAACGGGCACCCCAGAAACATGGCAGACGAAGATCTCATCTTCCGCCTGGAAGGTGTTGATGGTGGCCCCCGAGCTGGCCATGATGGTGGTTCTGATGGGGACAGCGATGATGAGGAAGGTTACTTCATCTGCCCCATCACCGATGACCCAAGGTCAAACCAGAATGTCAATTCCAAGGTTAATAAGTACTGCAGCAACCTAATGAAAAGTGAGCGGTATGGTTCCAGCGGATCCCCGGCAAACTCCTTCCACGTCAAGGTGAGTGAGCCACCTACGCCGCCTTCCCCACCCAGCTTAGCTGCTGTCAGGGATGGAGGATTAGGGTCTCTGGTTGGAGTCTTCTTCGTGTTTCCAGACCTTGGCCAGTGCTCCCAACTCTGATCTGAGGATATACTTGATAAGCAAGGAGGGTTTTGTTGATTTAAAATAAATTTCATTACCTTGGAACGGGGTGTTTTTCAAATAGTAGCCTAGGACACACTGTGGAGTTGTGAAAATCTTTTGCTGAGTTTGTCCAGTGTTTTGTTTTTATTTATTTATTTACTTATTTTAGTTTTCCTAAGAGTCATGGTTTTGCTCTGTCACCCAGCCTGTAGTGCAGAGGTGCTGGTTTTTTTGTTTTGTTTTGTAAAGAAATGGAACAAAACAGAATAAAATAGCAACTATTGGGGAACATTGCAAACTATAAAGATCTTACTTCTTTTTAAAAAGTTTTATTTGTGGCAATAGAAAATTCCCAAACTAAGGACTGACTTTCCCTCCCTCCCTCCCTCCATCCCTCTCTCTCTTTCTTTCTCTCTTTCTGTTCCTTTCTTCCTCTCTCCTTCCCTCCCTCCCTCCCTCCCTTCATCCTTCCCTCCCTCCCTCCTCTCCCTCCTTCCCTCTTCCCTCCCTTTTTCCCTCCCTCTCTTTCTTTGTCTCTTTCTGTTCCTTTCTTCCTCTCTCCTTCTCTCCCTCCCTCCCTTCCTCCTTCCCTCCCTCCCTTCCTCCTTCCCTCACTCCCTCCCTTCTTCCTTCCCTCCTTCCTCTCCCTCCTTCTCTCCCTCTCTCTTTTTCTCTTTCTTTTCTTTTCTTTCTTTCTCTCACTTTGTTGTCCTGGCTGGAGTGCAGTGGCACAATCATGGCTCACTGCAGCCTTCAACTCCTAAGCTCAAGCCATCCTCCTTCCTCAGCCTCCTGAGTAGCTGGGATAACAGGCTTGTATCACTATACCTGATTCATTAAAAAAAAAAATTTTTTTTTTTTTTCTTGTAGAAATGGGGTCTCACTATGTTTCCCAGGCTAGTCTTGAACTTTTGGCCTCAAGCAATAAGGATTCTATTTCTTGAACATAGGTGTACACACATTCACACACAAAACTGTGGTGGATATATCAATTACTTATGGTCAGTGTACCATTTTTTAAAAAATAAATAGAACAGTGATTTGTGCCTGTAGTCCCAGCTATTCAGGAGGCTGAGGTGGAGGATGGCTTGAGCCCAAAAATTCGAGGCTTCAGTGAACTATGATTGTGCCACTGCATTCCAGCCTGGGCAAAAATGTGAGACCCTATTTCTTAAAAAAGAAAAGAAAAAGAAATAGAATGAAATAGAAGAGAAAATATTGGAGAATACCACAAAGTGTAAAGACTTTATTTCTTGAAATACATATACATACCCATTGACACATAAATGCGGTGACTATATTGGTTGTCAGTGATCAGCCTCTGATGGTATACTCATTGTTAATTTTTTGAAAATTTATTTAACACCATACTTTTAGGTCAGTCGCAGTGTCTCACACCTGTATGTAATGCCAGCGCTTTGAGAGGCCAAAGTGGGAGGATTGCTTGAGCTCAGAACACCGTCATGGGAAACATAGTGAGATACTATCTCTCAAAAAAGAAAACAGACTGGGAGTGGCGGCTCACGCCTGTAATCCCAGCACTTTGGGAGGCCAAGGCGGATGTATCACTTGAGGTCAGGAGTTTGAGACCAGCCTGGTCAACATGGTGAAACCCCGTCTCTACTAAAAATACAGAAAATTAGCCAGGTGTGGTGGCTCACACTTGTAATCCCAGCTACTTGGGAGGCTCAGGCAAGAGAATCACTTGAACCAGGGAGGCGGAAGTGGCAGTGAACCGAGATTGTGCCACTGCACTCCAGCCTGGGCAATGAGAGTGAAAATCCTTCTCAAATAAATACGTGTATTATTCATTTTATTGTTTTTTTAGACAGTCTCACTCTGTCACCCAGGCTGGAATAAAGTGGTGGGATCTCGGTCCAGTGCAACCTCCACCTCCTGGGTTCAAGTGATTCTCGTGCCTCAGCCTCCTGAGTAGCTAATATAACAGGTGTGCACCACCACACCCAGCAAATGTTTTGTATTTTCAGTAGAGACAGAGTTTCCCTGTGTTGGCCATGCCGGACTCAAATTCCTGACCTCAAGTGATCTGCCTGCCACAGCTTTTCAAAGTGCTGGGATTATAGGCATGAGCCACCATGCCCAGCCTAGATAAATTTAAAAATCATAAATTTATTGAAAGCCATTTGGTAGGTGCCAGCATGGGTACTTGATCACGTGAAACTTGCATTTATTTAATGCATGTTATGTATCTGTCACCGGGCTATGCTTTTGAGTACAGAGGCAAACACCAATTGTTTACTGATTTAAGAGTCTCCCTTTTTATCCAGCAGAGACATTCAAGTGGAGAAACAAACATAATAACTATTAGTTACTTTGATAGAAACTTGTTTAGGGACACGGAAAAAAAGGATCTCATTTAACACTTACAGCCATCGTGGCTGGGCGCACTGGGTCAAGCCTGTCATCCTAGCACGGTAGGAGGCCAAGATGGGAGGATCGCTTGAGGCCAAGAGTTGAGACCTGCCTGGTCAACATAGCAAGACCCCATCTCTATTAAAGAAAAAAAAGAAGCACTTACAGCTGTCCTATGTGGTTACAACTGTGAAGGATAGACTACATTCTTTTTTTTTTGAGGCAGAGTCTTGCTCTGTCGCCCAGGCTGGAGGGCAGTGGCATGATCTCGGCTCACTGCAGCCTCCACCTCTCGAGTTCAAGTGATTCTTCTGCCTTATCCTCCTGAGTAGCTGGGACTACAGGCACTTGCCACCATACTGGGCTAATTTTTGTATTTTTAGTTGAGATGGGGTTTCACCATATTGGTCAGGCTGGTCTCGACCTCCTGACATTTTGGTCCACCTGCCTCGGCCTCCCAAAGTGCTGGGATTACAGGTGTGAGCCACCACACCTGGCCTATTTCCCTTTCTGTTGCCACATTCCAGGAGTGTGACCCTAATAATTTCTCATTGATTATGAGAATTAATGGTTTGTTAAAACCTTTCTACAAATTAACTGCCATTTTCCAACTTCATTAATTTGAAACTCATACTGTGAAAAGTTTTTCATCTCAAGTGTCTTTTATACATTGTCCGATTTTGTGTTGAATATTTTGAAAGCACCCTTCCGCATGTGTGTATGTGGGTACAGAAACATGTGATATGATTCTTCATGTTGGTTATCATAAAAAATAAAATAAAACACTTTTAAGAGTTGGACATCCTTCTCTGGACTGAGGAAAAGTGTACTTATTTTGGTAGGGATTTGTGTTCATACCATAGCAAAGCTGGTATACAGAAGAGGAGGAGAAGATGGGTGCAGTGGGTCACGCCTGTAATCCCAGCACTTTGGGAGTCCAAGACAGGCAGATCACCTGAGGTCAGGAGTTCTAGACCAGCATGGCCAACATGGCAAAATCCTGTCTCTACAAAAACATGAAAATTAGCCTGGCATGGTGGTGCCATCTGCGGTCCCAGCTACTTGGGAGGCTGAGGCGTGAGAATCACTTGAACGTGGGAGGCGGAGGTTGCAGTGAGCCAAGATTGTGCCACTGCACTATAACCTGGGTGACAGACTGAGACTCTGTCTGTCTCAGAGAGGAAAAGGCGAACTTTTTATTATTGGACTTTGTATAATAACTGGTGGGGTAAAACATCAAAAGTGCAACACTGTTACCCTTACTTAATTAAATCCTCACAAACAGTTAAGTATCAGTACTGTAAACAAAATGCCTATTACCACTTTGGAATTTGAAATTAAAAATATTCTTCCATATCTTCGGGATTAATATGTTTTTAGAAAATTAATAATTTTAGTTCCTGGAGATAGTTGGGTAATGTTTTCCTTTTCGGCCTAGAGTTCTAGCTGGAGTCACTCTGGGGCATGCAGCTCCAGAAATAGCCCCGGGGGTCTCCTCTGGGGTCGGGGGCCCTTAAAGGAGCAGGTTTCCACTCATCCTGTTTCCCATCCATGAGCACTCAACCCCTGGAGGGCAGCTCAAGTGTCCGTGAGAGGGGCTGATTTAAATTACAGGCTGTGGTTCTCACAGAATGCTGTGTTTACATTAGAACATAGAAGACGTTTCTCTCTCTTTTTTTTTTTTGAGACAAATTCTTGCTCTGTCTCCAGGCTGGAGTGCAGTGGTGCAATCTCGGCTCCCTGCAACCTCCACGTCCCAGGTTCAAGTGATTCATGCGCCTCAGCCTCCTGAGTAGCAGGAACCACAGGTGTGCACCACTATGCCCTGATAATTTGTGTATTTTTGGTAGAATTAGGGTCTTGCCTTGTTGTCCAGGCTGCTCTTGAACTCCTGGCCTCAAGTGATCCGTCTGCCTCACCCTCACAAAGTGCTGGGATCATAGGCATGAGCCCCCATGCCCAGCCTTTTCTTCTTTTTTTTTTTTTTCTTAAAGACACAGTCTTGCTCTGTCACCCAAGCTGGAGTGCAGTGACATAATCATAGCTCATTGCTGCCTCGAACTCCTGAGCTCAAGTGGTCCTCCCACCCCAGCCTCCCAAGTAGCTAGGAGGACAAGTGCATGCCACCATACCCAGCTGATTTTTAAAATTATTTTTTAATTTTTTTTTTTTTTAAGAGACGGGGTTTCACCATGTTGGCCAGGCTGGTCTCGAAAACTCCTGACCTCAGGTGATCCAGCCACCGCGCCCAGCCTTTAAAATGTTTTTGTAGAGATGAAGTCTCAGCATGTTACCCAGGCTGGTCCAAAGATGATTCTATGTGATTTGACCTTTTTTTTCCCCTGTGTTTTTTACTTTTTTTATAGAGACAGGGTCTCAGTGTGTTGCTCAGGTTGGTCTTAAATTCCTGGGCTGAGACGATTATCCCACTTCAGCTTCCCAAAGTAGGATTATAGGTGTAAGCTACTGTGCTTGGCCATGATTTGAGTCTAAACCAGTGC